CCAGGAGCGGCCACTGCACTCCAGTCTGAGCAACAGAGTGAGACTCCAACTCAAAAAATATATATATATATTAGATAAATAACACTGTGTTCTTCTCAGGGTATTACATCTAGAAGCATGAGAGGTTCATCTACCTCTTACTGAAGCTATTACTTCTGATCACCCAGTCAAGGGGATGTCTGTTATTTCCACTGTATAGTTATTGTTTTTTTTCTTGCACTAATAATACAAGGAGATTACTTTTGAACCATGCAAATATTGTGCTCCTTATCAAGCCTTCCTCTTAGATTTAGTGTCTCTTGATAACTCTTGCCTTGATTCTGATGATTACAGAGTAATGGTTTTTCATTTCTAGCATTCCTTTCGTATTTGCCACTTGGCACTTGGTATTCTCCTGAAAGCAGTAACCCTCCTTCCTTACCTATTTGTTTATCTTATTATTATCAGTATGAACTCATGGATTATTTCCCCACTAATAATTTATAATTTATCTAGTCTTTTTTGTACTTAGATTACTTTAGATTTAGCTGGTGAAAGCCCCCTGCAAGTTGGCTCCCGTGTCTGTTGTATGACTTTTTTTTTTAAATACTCCCTTCCTGGCACAATAAATTATCTTTTTGGGTTTTACTTTGTACTAAAGGTGATAACTTTGGGGCTGATTTGTTCAGGATGTTTTTGGTTCAAGTTTGAGAGAGACTGACATAGTTATTTATGACCTTTAATACCAAAAATTTCACTAAACAGATAAACTCATTAAATAAAAAACATTTGACATCTTTTTAGTATAGAATTACTTATATTTGAATTCAAGTCATTTAAAAAATGCCCTGTAATTGTCTATACATTTGTGGTTCTGTGAGCCTATATATAATATATAAGGTTGACTGTAAACAGTTTAACATGAGGACGCTTTGAAAAATTTTTAAATGGTTAGATATTTTAGAATTTTAGTAATATATGAATCTTTAGATTCTTAAAAATTGTATGTATAATTAAAATAAATCATATATCCATTGTAATAGAAGTTAGAAAAACCAGGTTTAGTTATTTGTTTAGTTACATTACTAATTTTAAACTATCAGGAAAGAGCTAAAGAATCAACAATGACAGCTCTTTAAAAAAAAAAAACAACTATTTGCAGTCTATCCAAAAACTGGTGACAAAAGCTGTTTTGTTTATTAGCTTCTTTTGTTCACTGTTCTGTGTATTTAATTTCAGATATTAAAATGCCATATTAAAAATGGGATTTTAAAACTTTTGGGTATTTTAAAAAGGTAAACAGTTTTAATTTTACTGTTTTTTGTGTAAAATAACTTTTAATTTTTGTGATTTTATAGTGGGCAGAAATGGATCTGGAAAAAGCAACTTTTTTTATGGTAGGTATTGATTTTTGAATTCCAAATGTATTAAGACCTAGGTGTCTTAAGATTGTGTTTTAAAATCATTGGTTTTCTGGGGTTATGTCTGCATGAAACCCAAGGAATACTTTATACAGGATTGCAGTTTAGTGTAGAGGGTTTAGAGTGTAAGGATCTGATTTTACTCTGTACTCAGTGTCTAATTAGTTATATGAGACTGGGCAAAACACTTAACCTCTCAAATTTTTCTTTTTGCTTTAAAAATGGAATTGTTTGCTCTGTCAACCTTAGATGGGTTGTGAGAATTGAATGAGATAGTACGTATGAAAGTGCTTTTTACACTTGAATGCAGTGTCTAAATATTATAAATGCATACATTTAAAAAGCATATAAGCCGGACTCGGTGGCTCAGCCTGTAATCCCGCGCCTTTGGGAGGCTGAGGTGAGTGGATTGCCTGAGCCCGTGGGTTCGAGACCCGCCTGGGCAGCGAGACCTCATCTCTACAATAAATTTTAAAAAAATCAGCCGGGCGTGGTAGCACATGCCTGTAATTCCAGCTACTTGGGAGGCTGAGGTGGAAGGATCCCCGGAGCCCAGCAGGTCGAGGCTGCAGTGGCCGGGAGCGGCCACTGCACTCCAGTCTGGGCGACAGAGTGAGACTCCAACTCAAAAAAAAAAACAAAATAAAAACATATATAAATGCAGTAGAATAGTTGATAGTATTGTTTTGGAAAATTGTTTATCTTTCTGTTTCACCTTTTGAAAATTTCTAAACTAAACATTTATAGAGGATGGAGAGGTATAAAACACTTGAGACTGAACAAAGATTATTGTCAATTTGAAGATAGTAAACAGAGGTTTGAAAATTCTCTCTAAAGGTAAAATACACTTAAGTATAATAATACCTCTGTTAACAAATCCTTTGGGGAGGAAAGCATCTTAACATAATTAAACTGTACAAGGAGTAGGTTGAAAAGTTTGAACTCCTTAGTTGTATAATTCTTGAGGGAAAGGGGTGTTTAGTGAACTGGTTTAGTAAGAGCAAAGGTTCTGTCCCTTCTGTGCACACAAATCTGAAGGGTACTTTATAACCTGTAAACCCTGTGGTGGTTGTAGTTTGGCAATGTGAAGAAACTGGATTGCAAGTGTGTATTTTAGACTCTCCAGGGGGATGAAAGCAGTTTGAGGGGCCCCTCAGCACACACATTAATGCTTGTGCATGAGCTTTCTCTTTCAGATACACACACATAAAATATCAGATGTCTGGGGTGAACTGGGACCAGGACAGCTGAGTAAAGAGTTCTATTTGTTGGGCAGGGTGGTTAAGTTAGTTGTTCTATATGGAAGTATGAATGGACCTTTCATACAGTAAGTATTGGTAGTGCCTGCAGTGCAGTAGAAGTTGGGAATCTGAAACATATTCCTCTATTTCCTTAGTTTTATTTACTTTGAAAAAATGTCTGATTAAGTATATTGTCATAATACATCCTATTTTGTTAAAAAATACTTTAATTTATATCAGTTGTGTCTAGTGGGGAGAAAAGCAAGTATAGTGTTAATTAAACCGGTCCGTGCATACTTTGCTCAAGAAGTAGACCTTAGTTTTACTTGTCTGTTTCTTTGTACCTTAGTATTTTCTCTCTATTTTCTTACCTTAAATGTTTCAGTGAAAACTTTTTAATATTGTATCATCACTTCCTACCTGACTAGTCTGATGTGCAGGCAAATTTTGTATATTCTTTTTGTTTATACAAAACAGGTAATTTATTTTATTGTTCATTACCTGACACATTGTAGTCTATTATGATATGGAAAATTATGAATAAGTCATAAACCATTTTTTAGATTGTACTAATAGTTATATTTTTGTATTTCTAGCGATTCAGTTTGTACTCAGTGATGAGTTTAGTCATCTTCGTCCAGAACAGCGATTGGCATTGTTGCATGTGAGTGAAACTGCTTTAAGACTTTATTGATATTATATATTTTTTAAAATACATTGTCCATGTTGGTAAAAAAAAAAAAAAAAAATAGTTCAAGTTTCAGATTCTTTGTGAGCATGACACAATCTGTCTCATAAGTGTGCTGCTATTCTGCTGTGAAATTTAGCCTAATATTAATGCCAGATGAAGGACTAATTTTTATACAATGGTTAGGAGAAAATTGTAGGATTTGCCTGTAGCTGAATATGTCTTCTTATAAATTTCTTTAAGGATGTGATCTGGTAAAGCTTAGAAGAAGGTTTGCTGAGGAGAAAGAAGAGTCTGAGACTGAGTATTAGGAACTTTAAGATTCGTAACCCCAAAATTAATTGGGGGCATAAAGACAGCTGTTGCCGGGTTCTGTGGCTCAGCCTGTAATCCCGCGCCTTTAGGAGGCTGAGGTGAGTGGATTGCCTGAGCCCACAGGTTTGAGACCCACCTGGGCAACTTGGCGAGACCTCATCTCTACAATAAATCAAAAATTAGCCGGGCGTGGTAGTGCGTGCCTGTAGTTCTGGCTTCTTGGAAGGCTGAGGCAAAAGGATCGCTGGAGCCCAGCAGGTTGAGTGCCACTGCACTCCAGTCTGGGCGACAGAGTGAGACTCCAACTCAAAAAAAAAAGAAACAGTTGTTGCAAACTAAGCAACATACAAGTTGTCTGTTGTTATTTTTAACCATATTTGTACTTACATAGTAACATTTTCCAATATGAAAAATAGTAGAGATGCTCCTTGAATTACAATGGGGTTATATTCTGACAAATGCATTGTAAATTGAAAATGTCATAAATTGAAAATACATTTAATACACCTAACAGGCTGAACATCATAGCTTGGTCTAGCCTACCTTTAACATGCTTAGAACACATTAGCCTACAGTTAGGCAATAATCTAACACAAAGCCTATTTTATAATAAAGCATTGAATCTCTTTGTCTTTTAACCCTTTGCACTCCAAAACTTCTCTCAGGATCATCTACCAGCAACTTGACCACACATTTTTACGAAATAGTGAAAAACGAGTCACTTATAAAATGGTATGGCGTTGGAACCAGTTCTTTTATTGTAATGCTAATTGGCTTATAGTGGAATTTTGGACATTGAAGAACTTATTTATGACAAAAAAATTAAAATTTTATATCTTTTTTTTTTTTTTTTTTTTTTTTGAGTTAGAGTCTCACTCTGGAGTGAGACTGGAGTGCAGTGGCCGCTCCCGGCCACCACAGCCTCGACCTGCTGGGCTCCGGCGATCCTTCCGCCTCAGCCTTCCAAGTAGCTGGAACTACAGGTGCGCACTACTACGCCCGGCTAATTTTTGATTTATTGTAGAGATGAGGGCTCGCCAAGTTGCCCAGGCAGGTCTCGAACCTGCAAGCTCAGGCAATCAACTCACCTCAGCCTCCCAAAGGCGCGGAATTACAGGCTGAGCCACCGAGCCCAGCAAATTTTATATCTTAATCTTACATTTTTCTAACACAGTAATGTGTGAGACAGTCACTGACATGCCTTGCAGGTTCATTGATACATGTTGTGCAATAGTAATTTGTTTGATGTCTTCTATTTGTTATTTTTCTATTTAAGCAGACAGTAAAATCTTATTTTCTTTCTCCCACATTATTAATATGTAATTTATTGTCTAGTTTTGTTGTTAGAAGATGTGGGAGGATGCACTCATAATTCCTGAAAAACCACTTCTCAACTGATGTTTATATCTTAGTATGTATTCCATCTCTGCTTTTTTGTGCATTTGAATGCAAAACTTCAAGAAAACATACACTTTTGAAAAGTTTGCGACAGTGTATTTCGCCCATGCCAACTCTGCCATGCCTCCATTTCTTTTCTCCCTTCTTTCTCTAATAAACTTTGTTTGAAAACTTTAAAAAAAAGAAAGAAAAATTTGCACACAAGTTTGTCCTGTATAATCTCTAGCAATCTCTATGTTCCCTGAGAAGGGACATCCGAGTGGTTTGCTAGATTTATGATGTCCCTTCAGAGGGAACATTTGAGTGCAAGGATTAATGAATACCGTGCTGAAAGTAAAAAAGTATGATTGTATGGGTATTCTACATATGGTTTCCACTGAATGTAGACTGCTTTCGTGCCATTGTTAAGTCAAACCTTTGTAAGTCAGGGATAATGTATATATATATACAGTCATGTAAGTTGTTAGAATATTTTATTAATTATGAATAATGAACTAAAGTAACTTTAGGATAAAAACTTATAAAAGGCTATAATAAAATAATATAATTATTGTCTTTCTGATTTGAATTATGTTCATAATTAATTTTAAGACTAGAAAACGAAATTCATCAATATATCTTACAGGCATCTCTTAGGAAATTCTTATTTTATAACTATTATTTTTTCTTTTCCTTTAGTTTGAATTTGCAGCCCAGTAATCAGGACTGATTCTCTATAGAGAATTCTTTTTAGGTTTTTAAGATTGGTGTTAAAAGAATTAATAACATTTTTGGTATACTTCTTCATTGTATTGAACCCACTACATAATAACAGTTTCTGGAATCTAGAAATTATCTAGGATTGGTACGTAGTTGTGTCATAGATTGGTCTAAATGTGACATGTGTTGTGTATTTCTATAATAGCTTTATAACTACATAGAATAAAAAAAAACAAAAACAAAAAACTATATAGAATGTCTCATGTTAAAAAACAAAACAATTTTTTGGTAATTATCACTTGATTTCTTAATGCTTTTCTCCCCCAGCATTAAAACAAGACTGTAAGAGAAGAACCTCATAGTGTATCAGATATTATTGGCAAATAGGTAGAATTAAGTTACCCCATTCGGGTGATCTAATAAAGTAGTCTGCAGAATAAAATCTAAGTATGTTTAACTTTGACTCCTCTTTCATAGTTCTTATTTTTTATTCACAGTGAAAAGCTGTTTGGTTGGGAAGTTTTGTTATCCTAATCTTATGTCTACGCTGTTTTTGGCAAGAGGGATGTATACTAGTCATGTTTAAAGAATATGAATATACCACTTAAATGGCAAATTTCTCGTTTTTCTCATTTTTAGGAGGGTACTGGTCCTCGTGTTATCTCTGCTTTTGTGGAGATTATTTTTGATAATTCAGACAACCGATTACCAGTAAGTAACTTTTTTTAAAGTAATAATGTTGAGAATTTCATTGATGTAGATTTTTTTTTCACGCTTTGAAACATTTGTAGCTCTACTTAAGCTTTTATAATTTAGCTCATGCTAAAATAATTATTCGGTATACATATAGATTTTGTCTTAAAATTATAATGAATATTCTGGTAAATAACAAATGGCAGTGTGACTGGGCATGGTAGCTCATGCCTGTAATCCCAGCACCTTGGGGAGGCCAAGATGAGAGGATTACTTGAGCTCAGGAGTTTGAGACCAGTCTAGGCAACACAGTGAGACCTTGTCTCTACAGAAGAAATTTTAAAAATTAGTCAGGTGTGGTGGTGGTACATGTTTGTAGTCCCAGATACTTGGGAGACTGAGGTGGAAGGATCACCTGAACCTGGGAAGTTAAAGCTGCAGTAAATCATAATCATGCCACTACACTCAGCCTGGGTGACACAGTAAGACTTTGCCTCAAATAAAAAAAGGAGATATGCAAGCTGTTGTGAAAGAAATATCTTTGTTATTATGAGTATTGACTATTCATAGCATTATGTTTAGTGAGGTAAATGAAATTTTAAAATAAATAGTTATGGACAAGGACTTTGAAATTCACTTTTTTTTTGAGTCAGAGTCTCACTCTGTCGCCCAGGCTGGGGTGCATTGGCATGCTCACAACCACCCCAGCATCGACCAGCTGGGCTCAAGCAATCCTTCCACCTCAGCCTTCCAGGTAGCCAGAACTACAAACATGCACTACCATGCCCAGCTAATTTTTTGATATATTGTAGAGATGGGGTCTCACCAAGTTGCCCAAGCTCAGGCAATCCACTTGCCTCGGCCTCCCAAAGTGCTAGGATTATAGGCTTGAGCCACTGTGCCCAGTCTAAATTACCTTATTTAACTAAAACGTTTTCTGCTTTACTATCAAATTTACTTTGAACTTTTGTGTTTTTTCTTAGATCGATAAAGAGGAAGTTTCACTTCGAAGAGTTATTGGAGCCAAAAAGGATCAGTATTTCTTAGACAAGAAGATGGTCACGTAAGTATTTTTATTTACATTTATAATTTTTACAAAAGAATAAAAGTATTCTTTTACTTACCTCATATATGAGGTATGCCTGCCTCATTCAATAAATCAGTATTTAGAGCATAAACATAAGAATCAGAAGGCAGCCGGGCTCGGTGGCTCAGCCTATAATCCCGCACTTTGGGAGGCTGAGGTGAGTGGATTGCCTGAGCCCGCGGGATCAAGACCTGCCTGGGCAACTTGGCGAGACCGCATCTCTACAATAAATAAATTTTTTTTAAAATGAGCTGGGCGTGGTAGTGCGAGCCTGTAGTTCCAGCTACTTGGAAGGCTGAGGCGGAAGGATTGCCGGAGCCCAGCAGGTCAAGGCTGCGGTGGCCAGGAGCATGCCACTGCACTCCAGTGTGGGCGACAGAGTGAGACTCCATCTCAAAAAAAAAAAAGAATCAGAAGGTTCCAAGGCTGATACAACAAATGGTTTAATTATTGGTCAGCACTCCCTACTACTTAACCCAGGAGCTAGTCTACTCATTATTTGCTTATTGTTGAGTGCTTTAGAATTATTTACCTGGAAAGATAATTTCAATGTTTTATCAACAGGAAAAATGATGTGATGAACCTCCTTGAAAGTGCTGGTTTTTCTCGAAGCAATCCTTATTATATTGTTAAACAAGGAAAGGTAAAACAATTATATGTCTTTTTTTTATAAAATTTGTTTTCTGAGTAATTCTTCACTTGAATAATGAATTTAGTTTATTGATTCTAGTGGTTAAGCTAAGGCAAAAATGAACCTTACTGTCTTTTGTTTTTATTGATTTACTTTGTATTGAAGATAGTATTATCTTTTACATGGGCAAAAAGTACCAAACAGATTCATTGCATATTAGGATAGAAGTATTTCAGCCCATTGTTTAAGCAGATCTTGTTTTCTTAGTGACCTGTGTTATTTACTGAGGTGCACTGTACTGGAAGTCATTTTTGGCTTATAGAAATTGCAGTGATCATATTTAAGAATATTTTAGAAATTCTGTAAGAATCACATTTGAAAAAAATTGCTTTCTGAAATTACTGCTATGTATCACAGAATTAAAATTCTGAAAAGCAGGGCAGCCACTCCAGGTCCCTCCCACTGTGGGAGCTTTTCTCTCCTCAATAAATCTTGCTTTCAAAAAAAAAAAAAAAAAAACATTCTGAAAAGCTTACATTACCAGAAATCTACCATAATGTCACATATTATTTTCCCTTAGAGATTCCTTTTTTTTTAGCAGCTAAACTATAAACTTTAGCTGATTGTTCTGCTGCTTCCTTACATACTTGCATTGTCTGGAGAACATTCTTGAATGTTCACTTGTTATCTTCTGGAGGCTTTTTAAGATATGTATTAGAGAGTAACCCTCTTGGGTCCCCTCCCACTGTGGGAGCCTTTCCGTCTTCTCAATAAATTTTTCTAAAAGAAAAAAAAAGGCCGGGATTGGTGGCTCAGCCTGTAATCCCAGCACTTTGGGAGGCCGAGGCAAGTGGATTACCTGAGCCCGCGGGTTCGAGACCCACCCCAGCAGCTTGGCAAGACCTCATCTCTACAATAAACCAAAAATTAACCGGGCATGGTAGTGCATGCCTGTAGTTCCAGCTACTTGAAGGCTGAGATGGAAGGATCTCTGGAGCCCAGCAGTTCGAGGCTGCGGTGACTGTGAGCATGCCACTGCACTCCAATCTGGGCGACAGAGTGAGACTCCAACTCAAAAAGAAAAAAAAGGTATGTATTAGAGCTGGACGTGGTGGCTCACTCCTATAATCCCAGCACTTTGGGAGGTGGAGGCGAGAGGATTGCCTGAGCCCAGGGGTTTGAGACCAACCTGGGCAACATGGCAAGACCTCATCTCTACAATAAATCAAAAAATGAGCCGGGCATAGTGGCACATGCCTGTAGTTCTAGCTACTTGGAAGACTGAGACGGAAGGATTGCCTGAACCTGAACCCAGGTCAAGTTTGCTGTGGTTGTGAGTGTGCCACTGCACTCCAGCCTGGGCAACAGAGTGAGACTCCAACTCAAAAAAAAAAAAAAAGATGTTTTAGAAAGGTAACATTCAGAAGAAGTGACTAGGAAGAGTATGGAGTTTCAGTTTTGGACAATGTGGTACTGGAAGAAAAAGTTGTCAAAAAGCCTGTCTGTCTTTATTCTTTGTGAGAGAGAAATTTCTGAAAATGGAGATTGATTTGAAAGAACACTTACCTGAGTTTTTCCCCATTTTACTTCATTTCAGGTAAGTCACCATGACTACCTTATCCAAAAATATCGTCTTCCTCTCAACCTCATGTTTTATTTCCTTAATCTTTTTTTTTTCTGTGTAACACTTAAACTATACTGTTGGGTTATGCTTATTTTCTATCTTTTCCCACTGAAATACAAGCTCCATGAGGGCAGGGTTTTTCTTGCTTTGTTCTTTGGTCTTTTTCTAGTGCCCAGCAGAGTGGCACATGTGTTGCAGTTCCTGATATTTTTAAGTGAGTAAATAGGATGAATTAACATGTTTAATTGAGGTGCCCAGTGATGAGAATCTGAAGGATAATTCCTTGATGTGTATAGTTTTAATAGACCATATTTTCTTCTTTTTTTAATTATTTTTTATTATAAAGATGTGGGGTACAATTCAGGGTTAGGTATATAAACATTGATTATGCAGGTATCCTTGTTGATGAGGTATGCCCCTCCCTCCCCTAGCAGTTTCCTTCAGTTGCCAGTTCCACCCTCCTCTCCGACAGTTTCCCATTCCTGCCAAACACTTTGTTATAGTATTATAATTGTTCAAGATAGACCATATTTTCTTAGAGTCGGTTCTATATTTATGTGAAAAAGTTAAAGTAACATTTTTTGAGTTGGAGTCTGACTCTTGTCGCCCAGGCTGGAGTGCAGTGGCATGCTCACGGTCACCGCATCCTCCACCTGCTGGACTTAGGCGATCCTTCTGCCTCAACTTTCCAAGTAACTGGAACTACAAATGCACGCCACCACATCCGGCTAGTCTTTGTGATTTTATTGAAGAGATGAGGTCTCACCAAGTTGCCCAGGCTGGTCTCAAACCTGCAGGCTTAGACAATCCTCTCGCCTCGGCCTCCCAAAGTGCTGGGATAACAGGCTGAGCCACCATGCCCGGCCTACTTCAATTTTTTAATGCAGTGATATTAATTTCAACTTTAGTGTTTGCTGTATATTAAATTGCATAGCAGTTAAGTTGTACCATTCTCTATATTTAAGTCATACCATTTTTTGTTATATATGTAGTAAGCCCTCCTTATCCACGGGTTCTACATCTGCAGATTAAACCAATTATGGATTGAAAATATTTTTTAAAAATGCAATAATAAGAAATAACAAATTTAGAAGAACGGTATAACAGCTGTTTACGTAGCACTTACATTGTATTAGGTAGTATACATAACCTAGAAATGATTTAAAGTATACAAGAGGATGTGCCTAAATTTTATACCATTTTAAGAGACTTGAGCATTCTTAGATTTTGGTATCTGCAAGAAGTCTGGGAACCAATTCCCCATGGATACCATGGGACTATCATACTCTTAATATTACTATAGCTTTTTAAATGTACAGTTAGTAATGGTTTTCCCTTATAAAAATACTTTCTTCTTTGAGAATAGAGCTCATCTTTTATACCTTGTCATATTGACTAAGAAAATTGGTAGTGTGAAATACTCCTTTATTTGTTAATCTTATTCATAAATGAAACTTATGAATATCATTTCTGTTTGGATTTTATTAGGGAAATTTCATTTAAGCAAAGGAGACATAGATCTGTAGATATATATACTATACAAATTACATTTGCCAAAACGTAATCTACTTAAAACTTTGCATCTGAGTACAGATTGGAAATCCCAGATCCAAAAACCCCAAATTTGAAATGTTTCGGAGTCCAAAACTATCAGGAATTGCTTGTTGGAGCATTTCACTTTGGATTTTCATATTTTGGTTATTCAACCAGTAAATGCAGATATTCCAGAATACAAAATCTGTAGCATTTTGGGTAAGGGATACTCAACCTGTATCTATACTAAAACCCTTCACGTTAGAGTTTTTGTTTTTGGGTTTTTTTAAAATTGGAGTCTCACTCCGTTTCCCAGGCTGGAGTGCAGTGGCATACTCACGGCCATCCCAGCATCGACCTGCTGTGCTCAGGTGATCCTTTCCCCTCAGCTTTCCAAGTAGCCAAAACTACAGGCGCGTGCTACCGTGTCTGGCTAATTTTTTATTTATTGTAGAGATAGGTCTCGCGAAGTTGCCGTGCTGGTCTCGAACCCACGGGCTCAGGCAGTCCACTTGCGTTGGCCTCCCAAAGTGCTGGGATTACAGAGTTTTTGTTCTTAAGGAGCAGTCTTACAGCTATGTAATGATTATTTTAAAAATGTTTTTTAGATCAACCAGATGGCAACAGCACCAGATTCTCAGAGACTAAAACTGTTAAGAGAAGTAGCTGGTACTAGAGTATATGATGAACGAAAAGAGGAAAGCATCTCCTTAATGAAAGAAACAGGTGAGATAAATGTGTTTCTGCCTTATTTCTTTCTATTGCAAATTATTGTCATTTGTTGTAACAGTTAAAATGAGTTATGTCTACTATTGAGAATATATTGTATGATAATTTGCCTATGTAGTGAATAGAGAGAAAATTCGTTTGCGGCGGTTTAAGGTTTGAGATTTCTAATAATTCATCTCTTTGAATAAAGAAGTGCTTTTGTTAGATACAGTAATAGGGCCTTTTGCCTGTAGCTTCCTTGTTACTGTTAGAACAGCAAATTTGTATGCGTTTCCTCAAAAAAAAAAAAGATAGATTATCAGTTGACAGTAGGTTTTAAATTGCTCAGGAACAAGTAAATATAAAACCTTGAATTTGAAATCTTCATTAGTACATTTATTATGGATACTGTAGTTTGTTTTATAAGTGCTGTGTCTTATCATGGCTTAGTTAGACTATCCTGGGTTCAGAATCTAATAATCAACTGACATTATGACTTTAGACTTGATCGCTTGGGGCCAAAGCTTCCTCATTTGTAAAATCTTATAGATTGTTATGGTGAGTAGAGGATCAAAGTATATCCATGATAGGAATATAGTAGGTATTCAACATATGGCAGCTATAGATAATGCCATTATTTATTCCTTCTTTTCTTATCTCACCTCATCTCATCTTTTTTTGAGTCACAGTCTCACTCCGTTACCCAGGCTGGAGTACAGTGACATGCTCACCGCTACTACAGCCATGCCCTGCTGGGCTCAGGTGATCCTTCCGCCTCAACCTTCCAAGCAGCTGGGACTAGAGGCACGTACCATGGTGCCTGATTACTTTTTAAATTTATTGTAGAGACAAGGTCACACCATGTTGCTCAGGCTGGGATAATGCTATTATTAATAAAAACTGATAATTTGTAACACCAATGTTGTTACTAGCTTTTTAAGAAATACTGTAGGAAGACACACTGACTTAAAAAGGAAGCTTAAACTGAGGCCTTTAACCACATGTAATGTAAGAATCTATCATCGTGTGTAAATTTGTTCTCTGATGCTTTTCCTAAGCATTTTAATTACCATTTTAGTACCATAGATTTGGTTGCCACATAATATCAAAGAAATGATGCTGCAGTTAAGAGGAATTCATGGTATATTTGAGAAATGATATTACAAACTAATTTTATTTAATTACTCCATCCCTCTCCCCATTTTTTTTAAGAGGGCAAACGGGAAAAAATCAATGAGTTGTTAAAATACATTGAAGAGAGATTGCATACTTTAGAGGAAGAAAAGGAAGAACTAGCTCAGTATCAGAAGTGGGATAAAATGAGACGAGCCCTGGAATATACTATTTACAATCAGGAACTAAACGAGACTCGTGCTAAACTTGATGAGGTAAAATATTTACCTTTGACACTTAAAATCAGATTAATTTTGTCTTTATGAATATGTTGAACTCATGCCATATTTATACTTTTCAGTGATTTTTAAATAAAAATCTAAAAATTTTAAAACCTCTCAATGAATTTCTTACTTAGCAAATTTTTTTCTTTCAGTCTGCTCTAAGGAAAATGCCTAAAGTCATGTGATCTTTGCTGTAATTTTATCTGAAATATAATCAGATGATAGTGTCAGTAGACCATATGAGAGGAAAGCCACCTTGAAGGCTTCTTGGGTTTTTTCCCTGGGCTTTTGAGAGTTTATTTTGTAATTAGTATTGCTGATATTTTGTACAAAAACTTATTTAGGTGATGTTTCCGTTTTCTATTTAAAGGAAACCATTTTTTTGTATTAAAAAAAGTGTGAGTGGTTACATTTATTTTTAGCAAATATAAAAAATTTTACTAGATGTTATGAAATATTAAGCAGATACAAAATGAATCAGAGACATTGGCTTGTTTTTTTTTCCAGCTTTCTGCTAAGCGAGAGACTAGTGGAGAAAAATCTAGACAATTAAGAGATGCCCAGCAGGATGCAAGAGATAAAATGGAGGTAAGATTATAAACAATGTTCATGTTTACTTAGATTTTTTGACTATCACAAAGCCTTTTATACAGAAATTAAGGAATGACATCTATAAGGGGGAGAATCACAGGGATTGAATATTGGAAAGAGTAGTACTGAAAGTGTAAATGAAAGAAAAAAAGGGACAGAATTCATAGTGTCCCAGTTCTGCTGTTGTACTTCTAATTGACTGACTCATTTTCTGTTCAATACTTTCTGAATAGGATATTGAGCGCCAAGTTAGAGAATTGAAAACAAAAATTTCAGCTATGAAAGAAGAAAAAGAACAGCTCAGTGCCGAAAGACAAGAACAAATTAAGCAGAGGACTAAGTTGGAACTTAAAGCCAAGGATTTACAAGATGAATTGGCAGGCAATAGTGAACAAAGGGTAAGTTAAAATGTTAAAAATGAAAACCATAAATGTTCGGATGAGTAGGAACTACAGAAGTCCTTTGTGTGCTTGAATTTTTTATAAATAAATTCACCACATTAAAATAATTTGTTCTCAAGTTTTTTTTGTTTTTTTGTTTTTGAGTTGGAGTCTCACTCTGTTGTCCAGACTGGAGTGCGGTAGCCACTCCCGGCCACCGCAGCCTCGACCTGCTAGGCTCTGGTGATCCTTCCGCCTCAGCCTTCCAAGTAGCTGGAACTACAGGCGTGCACGCGCTACCACGCCCGGCTAATTTTTTGATTTATTGTAGAGATAAGGTCTCACCAAGTTGCCCAGGCGGGTCTTGAACCCAGGGGCTCAGGCAATCCACTCACCTCGGCTTTCCAAAGCTGGGATTATGGGCTGAGCCACCAAGCCTGGCCTGTTCTCAAGTTTTAAAAAATTATTGTATGTTGCAGGGTCAGTTTTCTCACAAGTTTTTTGTGAGAAAACATTTTTTGCTAGACTTGTAAATTGGGCAAAATATTTTAAGCTAATTGCATTTTCACTTATCTTGTTTAATTTACAGAAACGTTTATTAAAAGAGAGGCAGAAGCTGCTTGAAAAAATAGAAGAAAAACAGAAAGAACTGGCAGAGACAGAACCTAAATTCAACAGTGTAAAAGAAAAAGAAGAACGAGGAATTGCTAGGTCTGGGACTTTTCATCAACACTTTCAATTTTCTACATAATGTTATATATAACTAGGTAGTCCAGGAAGCTCTTTTATACTATAGTAGTTTTTTTTTTACACTTAATTTCTTTTTTATATCATTTTATTTTATTTTATTTTATTTATTTTTTATTTTTTGAATTGGAGTTTCACTCCATCACCCAGACTGGAGTGCAGTGGCCGCTCCCGGCCACCGCAGCCTCAACCCACTGGGCTCCAGTGATCCTTCCGCCCCAGCCTCCCGAGTAGCCGGAATTACAGGCGCTCGCTACCACGCCTGGCTGATTTTTGATTTATCGTAGAGATGAGGTCTCGCCAAGTTGCTCAGGCGGGTCACAAACCCACGGGCTCAGGCAATCCACTCACTTCAGCCTCCCAAAGGCGCGGGAATACAGGCTGAGCCACCGAGCCTGGCTTATCACTTTATTTTTTAATATACATATATATTTTAGAGATAGGATCTCTCTGTCTGTCACCCAGGCTGGAGTGCAGTAGCATAATCATTGCTTACTGCAACTTCGTACTCCTGGGCTCAAGCGATCCTTTTGCCTTAGCCTCCTTAATAGCAGGTCTACAGGCATGCATCACCACACTTGACTGATTTTTTTGTAAAGATGAAGGACTTACTGTGTTGCCCAGGTTGGTCTAAAACTTCTGACCTCAAGCAATCCTCTCGCCTCACCCTCCCAAAGTGCTGGGGTTATAGGTGCACACCACTATGCCTGGCCTTTCATATCATCTTAAAAAATAGCTTTATGTTTCTATGTAGAGTTGACATTGTTGATTGCAATTAAACTTGGTTATTTTTCTCTTTTTCAACCCATTCTCTTCTATTTTTTGTAGATTGGCTCAAGCTACCCAGGAAAGAACAGATCTTTATGCAAAGCAGGGTCGAGGAAGCCAGTTTACATCCAAAGAAGAAAGAGATAAGTGGATTAAAAAGGAACTCAAGTCTTTAGATCAGGCTATTAATGACAAGAAAAGACAGATTGCTGCTATACATAAGGATTTGGAGGACACTGAGGCAAATAAAGAGAAAAATCTGGAGCAATATAATGTAAGAACTTTTATATCTGCTTTGTAAAAAAATCAGAAGAGATTAATGTACATTTTTAACTACTACTATAAGTTTTATATTTTAAACATGTCTACATACTACTCTTAAAATATATTATGGGTACTTATTTAGGAAAATACAATTTAATATACATTCATATACATAGTTCTCTTTTTTAAGGATGTTTTATCCATGTCAGTGAGTGTTTATGTAGATTGAGTATATTATAAAACATTTTTATGAATTGGTAGTGTGTCCCTAATATATTTTTAATTTTAACAAGATACACAAGTCTAAAATAACTTGAGTAACATTTAAAGAAAACTGGGTGTGTTCTAGCCTTATATGTTGCATATAGTTGTCATTTTTTAATCTGCTTTATCTGAACTAGTTTCTCATTTTACTTGACTTTTTGTGACTTGACATTTTATTTTATTTTATGTTATGTTATGTTTATGGTTATGTTATGTTTATGGTTATGTTATGTTTATGTTTATGTTATGTTAGAGTCTCACTCTGTCGCCCAGACTGGAGTGCAGTGTCCGCTCCTGGCCACTGCAGCCTCAACCTGCTGGGCTCCAGCGATCCTTCCGTCTCAGCCTTCCGAGTAGCCGGAATTACAGGCACACGCTTCCACACCCGGCTAATTTTTGATTTATTATAGAGATGAGGTCTCGTCAAGTTGCCTAGGAGGGTCTCGAACCTGTGGGCTCAGACAATCCACTCGCCTCGGCCTCCCAAAGTGCTGGGATTACAGGCTGAGCCACTGAGCCTGGCCAAATGCACATTTTAAATTAAATTATTTTCAGCTACATCTTTGTCAAAATGAACACTGGCTAAGCTGAAGCCTTTCATTTATTTTGGACAGAGATGATTTTACAGTGCTGATTGCATTGCCTTTTGCTTTTTGATAAAGTCCTAGATTAATTTTTCCACAGTTTATTTTTAACACTTGCAGTATGAAAATTAAGTGTCTTTTTGGTGATTTTGTTATGCTTTATTATTTTTTTTTTTTTGAGTTGAAGTCTCACTCGGTTGCCCAGACTGGAGTGCAGTGGCTGCTCCCGGCCACCGCAGCCTCGACCTGCTGGGCTCCGGCAATCCTTCCGCCTCAGCCTTCTGAGTAGCCGGAATTACAGGCGCGCACTCCCACGCCCAGCTGATTTTTTGATTTATTGTAGAGATGAGGTCTTGCTGCCCAGGCGGGTCTCGAACCCGCAGGCTCAGGCAATCCACTCACCTCAGCCTCCCAAAGGCGTGGGATTACAGGCTGAGCCACAGAGCCCAGCTATTTTTTTAATGTAATACAAATCCTACATACTTATCAAACTAAGTTTTTAGATTTTTCAAAATGATGATAGTAGTATCTTGGCCTCAGTGACTGCTATGGAGCAGTGTTACTATGTTTTTTCTTTCTTTTCCTTAAGGCTGTAATGCATTGTTCAGTAAAGTCTACAAAACATATTATTTCAGAATTTAATATAGGTAGCTTACCTTATTACTGGTGTTGAGTATCATGTCTCAGAAAGGGAACCATTAGTGTTCAGATACACCTGAAAAAAAGAGAATGGGATTTTAGAAATACTTTAAGCTGTAATGATAGTTAATAACACAATAGTCTTTTAATTACTTATGCCTATAAAAGGTGAAACATTAATTTAGAAAGCAAACTGTTCAAGAACTACACTCTTCCAGTATGTTATCAGATAGTCTGGAGACAAATTAAGCCACTGCTGCAGAAAAGTTAAATTTTACAAAGGGGATTTGTATACTGAGTCCCAAATTTGTTACGTGTAGAGTAAGAGAATTTAATTATCCAAGATGTTATGAGTCATTCTAATTAGCCAAGATTTTATGATTTTATAAATCAGTTAACAAAAATTTGAGCAAAGTAGTCATGTTGCTACTAAGGACTAATGCTTTTCTTTATTTATTTATTTTTTTAAGAGACAGGGTCTAACAAACTGGAGTGTAGGGAGGTGATCATAGCTCACTGTAACCTCATACTCCTGGGCTTAACTGGTCTTCCCACCTCAGTCTAAAGACATGTACTACCAAGCCCAGCTTTTTTTTTTTTGTAGAGATATGGTCTCTCTATCAAAGAGGATATTGGGTTTTTCAACTCAATGTTATTTAATAAATTAATGAATACAGTTTATTAACTATCCTTAAGGAAATAACATATTTATTTTTATTTTTATTTTTATTTTTTTTGAGTTGGAGTCTCACTCTGTTACCCAGACTGGAGTGTAGTGGCCGCTCCCGGCCACCGCAGCCTCGACCTGCTGGGCTCCGGCGATCCTTCTGCCTCAGCCTTCCAAGTAGCTGGAACTACAGGCGTGTGCTACCATGCCCGGCTAATTTTTTTTTTTTTGTAAAGATGAGGTCTTGCCAAGTTGCCCAGGCGGGTCTCAAACCCATGGGCTCCGGCAATCCACTCACCTCGGCCTCCCAAAGTGCTGGGATTACAGGCTGAGCCACCAAGCCCGGCCACATCTTACTTTCTAGTAAATTCTGCGTTTTAAATATTTTCTGGCTCATTGTTGATTGTAAAATAGTAGAAAATATTTTTTGTATTCTCTGATGTATGTATAGAGAGGGGGCAATATTAAGAGTATGTACTGCATTATTTTGAAAGTTTATAATGTATTTTTTTTCTTCTAAACTTTTAGAGTGTATACTATAGAAATAGTAAGGTTTAGCTCACTAATGAACAAATTTTATTTTAGCAGTGTTTTCTAGGGTATTTCATTTTATGGTTTGTGTTTCCTGGTGATATGCTCTTGCCTAAAGACAACTTTTAAAAATTGAAATTGGATTTTTCAACAGCTTCATTGAGGTATAATTGACATGTAATAAATTATCTATATTTAAAGTGTATCATTTGATGAGTTTCTGCATACATATACACTTGTAAAATCATCACCACAGTTAAAATAGTAAACATGTCCATCACCCAAAATTGTTTCCTGTACTCCCTGGTAATTCCTCCCTCCCTCACCTTCTGTCCCCTTCCCCTATCCTCACAGCTAGTGTTCTTTTCTATTACTATGGATTAGTTTGATGAAATTGAATTTTAAAGTGGAATTATTTCTATTTTCATAGAAACTGGACCAGGATCTTAATGAAGTCAAAGCTCGAGTAGAAGAACTGGACAGAAAATATTATGAAGTAAAAAATAAGAAAGATGAATTACAAAGTGAAAGAAAGTTAGTATAGACTAAAATATACCTTAATTTTTTAGAGTAATTCTAGTTACTGGTTGTTACATGGTTTTTAAGTTGTATATTAAGTGTTCAAGTTTGTTTTCAGTATTCTAAATATGGTCTGTGAGTAGATCTTTTTATGTGGTTTAAAATTAAAGGCAGTCTAATTTTTATTGGTTAGTTACTTGTGGAGAGAGGAGAATGCAGAACAGCAAGCACTTGCTGCTAAAAGAGAAGATCTTGAAAAGAAGCAGCAACTTCTTAGAGCGGCAACAGGAAAGGTGGGCAGCTTCTTTTTATTGCCTCTGTTTGCAGTGAGTCACTGAGTCAGTCATTAGTATACACTAATTTATTAACTTAAATTGTAGATTATTGGTTCCAGGTAATAGCGTAGAATCCAAATCACTTTTCCTATAAGCATGGAACAATAGGGATTATTTAAGCCGCCTTAGTACTACCTGTGCTATATTAATGATAGCACTTTTGATTTTTAGACAAAGACCTCATTTTTAGAATTAGTGTCATAGAGCAGAACCTATAATATAAGGTGCTATGTGTAATTAACATATTTCAGGAGGCAATATGTTTGTTGGGGAGGTTGTTTAATCTCTGGTATATTTTTAAATGTATGATATGGGCTCATTTCTCAGAAGGAGTGCCATTGGTAATACTATTTTAATATTTTACTTTTCTAACAATTTACAGGCCATTTTAAATGGAATAGACAGCATAAACAAAGTGCTAGACCACTTTCGTCGAAAAGGAATAAACCAGCATGTTCAAAATGGCTATCATGGCATTGTGATGAATAACTTTGAGTGTGAGCCTGCTTTTTACACTTGCGTGGAAGTCACTGCTGGAAACAGGTGAAATTTTTTCTTGATATTTAGCATGTTTAGAGGGAAGGGAGAGTAAAAATAAACTGAGAAACTGCTTTCTGTGGTTTCAGTACAACATAGCTACCATTATCTTCTTATATACTTGGTTCCTTATTTGTTTTTTGTGTGTGTTTTTTGAGTTGGAGTCTTGCTCTGTCACCCAGGCTGGAGTGCAGTGGCACACTCAACGGCCACCGCAGCCTCGACCTGCTGGGCTCAGGTGATCCTTCCTCATCAGCCTTCCAAGTAGCTGGAATTATAGGCATGTGCCACCACACCTGGCTAATTTTTTTATTTATTGTAGAGATGAGGTTTTCCCAAGTTGCCCAGACTGGTCTCAAACCCATGGGCTAAGGCAGTCCTCTCACCTCAGCCTCCCAAAGTGCTGGGATTATAGGCGTGAGCCACTGTGCTCAGCCTTGGTTCCTTATTTAACTTTCTAATGAGAGAAGTAGATGCTAAGTGTTCCTAATTATAGAAAATAAAACTTTATTCTTTCTGAGTTTTCTCCTTTTCTATCATTAAAATTTTCTAAGTACTATTATTTTTTTCCAAAACAATTTGGATTGAATAGGAGAAAAGTGAATTGATTAATACTTAAATGTTTATAACACTTTAAAGTCTAACAGTAAAGCCGGGCACAGTGGCACGTGCCTGTAGTCCCAGCTACTTGGGAGGCTACGATGGGAGGGTTGCTCGAGCCCAGGAGTTTGAAACCAGTCTGGGCAATGTAGCAAGACTCTGTCTCAAAAAAAAAAAGGATAATAATAATAAAGATGTGTCTTATTCTGCTTATATGTAGGTTATTTTATCACATTGTTGATTCAGATGAAGTCAGCACGAAGATTTTAATGGAGTTTAATAAAATGAATCTTCCCGGAGAGGTCACATTTCTGCCTCTTAACAAGTTAGATGTCAGGGATACTGCCTATCCTGAAACCAATGTGAGTGAATGTGTGTTATGGTCTAGCTCTCTTTTATTAAGTTAATTTTTTTTTAATCATATAGTCTATTTAACACATACCAGTGCCCAGACACTGTGCATTGGGATTCACTGGTTTATAAGATAAATATGCGCTCCCTCCTGTGGAGTATAATTAGTGCTGGGTGGAGTTGGGAGGGAAACATGAGTCACTGCCAAACAGGCATGTTGGTACTGTCTGTAATCCCAGCTACTCAGAAAGCTAAGGCAAGAGGATTGCTTGATCCTAGGAGTTTGAAACCAGCCTGAGCAACATAGCAAGAGCCTATCTCTACAAAAAGGAAAAAAAAGTCACAGCCAAGACATGAAATAAATCATTACAAATATATAAAGTATATATAAATATACATAAGGATACTTTGACAGCGTATGTGGAGGTGACAGAATTAAGATTAGGGAGTTGGAGAAATATTCCTGAAAAACTTATATAAATGAATATTTTAAAGTTTTCTGGATATACTTTTAAAATAGTTTATAAATTAAATGAAAGATGGCTAGCAAGGTGATAGACTGAAAGCATTATATTGCTTTTGTTACTAGCTAGTAGTACACATTAAATGGATTAAAAATATATTTTAGACATTATTCTTGAAAAAATATAATTGCTTTGAGGTACTTGACTTCAGAATGTTTGATGGTAGTAGCAGCTGTTTTGATTAATAATTTAAATGGAACATTAATAATCTTATAAGCTACTAAAGGGTCTGGCTTTTTATCAAATCTACAAATTTTCTTTGAAGTTTTGGGGAAGAAAATTAGAATCTGACAAACGAGGTATGAATGAAATGAGGCACAAAAGAATACATGTAGCATGGTTCCATTTACACTACATAAACAAAAGTAAGATGATAGAACTAGGAAGTAATTAGTATACAAAGTCACAGTAGTGGTCACCCAGCAGGTAACCACTGCAGATTACCACTGTGTGATTAGAAAAGGAGCACATTTGTGACTTCTAGGGTGTCAACAGTGTTCTGTTTCTTGTGCTGTATGGTAGTTACCTTGGTGTTATATTAACTTAATATATATATATTAATTTAATATATTTATTACATTTTTATGTAGGATATGTTTCATAATTTTAAAAATTCTAAAAATCCTGTTCTGACAGTTCAGGGGAGAGGAAAAATGTAAATAAATTTTTTCTGAAAAAATTTTTCTGAGTATCTTATTAGAGAAATATATATGTATATACAATTAAAACATTTTAAGGAAATTCTATTTATATTTAACCCTTCTATAAGAAATTCTGTTCTAAGTGTTTCACATGTATTAACTCATTAGTCTTTACAATTTTATTAAGGAAGATACATTATCATCGCAGTTTTGTAGATAAAGTAACTTATCAAGAGAAGTTAAGCAACTTGTCCAGAACACACATCTGATGAATAGTGGAACTGGGATTTGAACTTGGGCAGCCTAGCTTCAGTTACTGTCACTATGCTTCACTGTTGAAAACTTTGATGATTACATAAACACGATTTCTAGGATATTTTAGTAGAATAATAATTCTAATTTATTCAGTATAAAAACCACTAGTTTTGGAATATAATGGCATTTGTGTTTATTCATATTTCATAAAGATGTAATTCATAATTCTGCTATGTTTTTAATTAACTGTGTTATGATCTCTGCTTGCTGACAAAATACTCATTTTTTAGGATGCTATTCCTATGATCAGTAAACTGAGGTACAATCCCAGATTTGACAAAGCTTTCAAACATGTGTTTGGGAAGACACTCATTTGTCGTAGCATGGAAGTTTCAACTCAGCTGGCCCGTGCTTTCACTATGGACTGCATTACTTTGGAAGGTTTGTAATAGTAATTCTTTTTTTTATTTTGAGTTGGAGTCCTCACTCTGTTGCCCAGACTGGAGTGCAGTGGCCGCTCCCGGCCACCGCAACCTCGACTTGCTGGGCTCCAGCAATCCTTCCACCTCAGCCTTCCAAGTAGCTGGAACTACAGGCGCGCACTACCACGCCCGGCTAGTGTTTTGATTTATTGTAGAGATGAGGTCTCACCAAGTTGCCCAGGCGGGTCTCAAACCCGCGGGCTCAGGCAATCCACTCACCTCAGCCTCCCAAGGCGTGGGTTTACAGGTTGAGTCACCAAGCCCGGCTTGTAATAGTAATTCTTAACTTGTACAGATAAATTCTTATGAATCATTTAATATGCATAATCTGTGTAATATGTCATTTGAGCTGTATGCATGCCTGATGTAGTATATCTTGTATAGCCATTCAGAGTCATTTTAGTTTTAAGTGTGTTTGAAAATTCATGTTCAATTATTCATCATCTTTTAAATAGTTGGTTTGTTCAAGTGAAAGTCTAAACATGGTCCATGCTTGATATTTAGTTAATATCTGTTCTGTGAAATCATTTGGTCTATAGCAGAGGTTCTTAACCTTTTTTTGCACTGTGGATTCATTTGGCTGTCAAAAGTTTTAAATGCATAAAATAAAATACTTTGGATCATAAAGAAAGCCAAATATATTGTCATGGTTATCACAGTATTTTAAAAAATATGATACAGGCGCTGGGGCATGGTGGCTTACACCTATAAACCCAGAGCTTTGAAAAGCCAAGGAGTTTACTCGGAGCCAGGAGTTCGAGACCAACCTGGCAACATGGCAAGACACCATTTCTACAAAGCATTTTTTTAAAAGTAGCTGGATGTCATGGTGCACAGCTATAGTCCAACTATTCTGGAAGCTGAGGTGGGAGGATTGTGTGACTCCGGGAGCTCCAGGTGTGGTGAGCTCTGATTGCCTCATTGCCCTCTGGCCTGGGCTACAGAGCAAAACCCTGTCTCAAAGGGAAAAAAAAGTATGATGTAGTAATTTGTTGTTTAATGTATTCACAAACAAGATTTAGTAGTGAGCCTAACAGTTATCATAATTTTAAAGTACTGATGTATGTAAACATTATTTTTAGATCTGTGACAAGTGGAATTTAATATGAAAACAGCTCTATTATTATAAAATTGTCTATTATTTATCTTGGTAGCAAAATCACTAATAACACTACTGTGGTTCTTGTCCTGCTCATTATAGAAGGAAATGCTAAATTTTATTTTGAGGTTAGTAAAACTAAAGATATAAATGTTTTCCCCACTCACATCACAGGTTCCTTGAACTTTATCTGTGGACTCCAGGTTAAGAACTCCCAGTATATAGGTTTATTTGTCTTACCTTTTGTTTTTTCTTCTCTCTATATGTACGTTTTGTTGTGGTTGTTTTTGAACCATCTGAGAATAAGTTTTAAAATACCATGGTACTTTATCACTAAAGCTTAAGTATGCATCTCCTAAGAATAAGGACATTCTCTTGTATAACTGCAGTATCATTGTTACACCTAAAAAATGTAACATTGACCCAATAATGCCATCTAAACAGTATCCACATTCAATTTTTCTCAATTGTCCCAAAATATTTTCTATCTAGGATCCAGTCAAATATACATGCAGTGACTTCTCTTTAGATTCTTTTTTTTTTTTTTTTGAGTTGGGGTCTCACTCTGTCGCCTAGGCTGGAGTGCAGGGGCACACTCACAGCCACGCCAGCATTAACCTGCTGTACTCTGACGATCCTTCCGTCTCAGCCTTCCAAGAAGCCAGAACTATAGGCGTGCGCTACCATGTACAGCTAGTTTGTTTATTTATTTATTTATTTATTTATTGTAGAGACCAGCCTGGGCTGAGCCTCCAAGCCTGGCTAGAATCTTTAAATATAGGACAGTTCCCCCATTCCTTTTCCTCCCCAGTCCTCCATGAAATTGATTTTTTTTTTCTTTTTTAAATAGAGATGGGATCTTTTTCTTTTTTAAATAGGGATGGGATCTTGAGCCGAACTCGGTGGCTCAGCCTGTAATCCCAGCACTTTGGGAGGCTGAGGTGAGTGGATTGCCTGAGCCCGCGGGTTCGAGACCCACCTGGGCAACTTGGCAAGACCTCATCTCTACAATAAATTAAAAATTAGCCGGGCATGGTAGTGCGCACCTGTAGTTCCAGCTATTTGGAAGACTGAGGCGGAAGGATTGCCGGAGCCTAGCAGGTCGAGGCAGCAGTGGCCGGGAGTGGCCACTGCACTCCAGTCTGGGTGACAGAGTGATACTCGAACTCAAAAAAAAAAAAGAGAGATGGGTTCTTGCTGTGTTGTCTAGACTGGTCCCAAATTCTTGGCCTCAAGCCATCCTACCTCAGCCTCCCAAAGTGCTGGGATTATGTAGGCATGAGCCTCCATGCCTTTTTAAAACTTTTTTTTTTAATGTTTTAATTGATTTTTTCATAGAAAGTTTCATTTTCTGGGTTTGTTTTATTGCTTCCTCATTATTAGATTCAGGTTAAACATTCTTGGCATGAATGCTGTATGAATGATGTAAACTTACTGTGTCTATAGTATGTCCCACTGTTAGTGATACTTTAATCACTAGCAGACTTCTCAGTTGCAAAAGTGCTTTTCCTCCTTTGTGATTAATGAGTGATATATGGGACTGTTCTTTAAGAATACATAAATGTCAGGTTCCTTGACAACTTTTTTTTTTTTTTTTTTGAGTTGGAGTCTCACATCGCCCAGACTGGAGTGCAGTTGGCTGCTCCCGGCCACCACAGCTTCAACCTGCTGGGCTTCGGCGATCCTTCCACCTCAGCCTTCCACCCTAACAACTTTTTACCAGTTGTTTTAGCATCCTTTTTTGATCCTTGACTGAATCAGTTATTACAATGGGGGTTTCAAACTGGTGATTTTAAAATCCTATCATTACCTCTGTATTTATTAGCTGTAGCTCTTATGTAAAGAATAGTTCTCTCATTTTTAAAAAAGTATTATTGTGATTAATGGATTCTTTTTTCTAATTCAATGTGTTACCACATTGTCATTATTTTTGGTGCCAGATTTTTCTGAATATGGCCAGTGGAAATTCCAAGCTAGGTCCTGTGTCCTATTGACATGTCCTCAGTAGTCTTTAGCACTTACTTGCCTTCTGGCAGATGTTCAGGCTTACCTCAAAGGCATCTAAAAAAAAAAAAAAAAAAAAACCTGCAAATTTTAGCATTCGAAAGCAAAATTTTTTCACGATGACTTAATTTTTTTTTTTTTTTTTTGAGTCAGAGTGTCACTCCATCACCCAGGCTGGAGTGCAGTGGCAAGTTCAGGGCCACCCCAGCATGCCTTCAATGTAGGGCGCGTGCTACCACACCTGACTAATTTTTTGTTTTTTAATTGTAGAGGTGAGATCTCGCCAAGTTGTCCAGACTGGTCTTGAACCCCTGGTCTCAAGGCATTCCTCTCCTCAGCCCCCCAAAGTGCTGGGATTACGGGCTTGAGCCATCACACCCAGCCATGCTTAACTTTTCAGCCAGGCTCGGTGGCTCAGCCTGTAATCCCGCACTTTGGGAGGCTCAGGTGAGTGGATTGCCTGAGCCCACTGGTTTGAGACCCACCTGGGCAACTTGGCGAGACCTCATCTCTACAATAAATCACAAAATTAGCCAGGCGTGGTATCGTGCGCCTGTAGTTTTGGCTACTTGGAAGGCTGAGGCGGAAGGATCGCTGGAGCCCAGCAGCTCAAGGCTGTGGTGGCTGGGAGCGTGCCACTGCACTCCAGTCTGGGTGACAGAGGGAGACTCCAATTCAAAAAAAAATTCTTAACTTTTCAATTATCATTATGTAGTTAAAGCTTTTTAGATCAGTTTTTTATTATAAGTCAGTTTATCATTGAATAAAGTTGTCATGCAGAATTACTACCCTTCTTATGTTTTGTTTACAGGTGACCAAGTCAGTCATCGAGGTGCTCTAACTGGAGGTTATTATGACACAAGGAAGTCTCGACTTGAATTACAAAAAGATGTTAGAAAAGCAGAAGAAGAACTAGGTGAACTTGAAGCAAAGCTCAACGAAAACCTGCGCAGAAATATTGAAAATATCTTTTTGTTTTGTGAATGATGATAGATACTGTGAAGAAATAACTACATTTTGGTTGCCATATATAATTTTTTGCATGTTGGGTTTGTTTTTTAATATATATAAAAATTTTCTTGTGTTTTACTTTGACCTTTATTTAACTGCAGGGGCTTAGGTTTTTCTATTTATCTTCTGAAGACTAAGGGAAAAAACTAAAAGTTATTTTAATATTGATCCTTTGTTTAACAGATAAATAGCTGATAGCAGTGAAAAAGAGTCCAAGGACTACCAACATTAAAGGTTATATCAGGCAAAGAGGAAACTGAGAAGGACTGGTCAGTGAATCACAAAAGGACACCTGGTTAGTGTTTCAAGGAAGATAGTGGGAGGCATCGGTAATGTAAAAAATAAGAATTGAAAAACGTTCATTAGATTTTACTATCTTGAGGTTATTCATCACAGATTTAGTGTTAGTGAGGAGATGGCCATCAAATATCCAAGTCTGACTAACCATTGTTCTTTTACATAAAAATGGTGTTACATGAGGAGTAGCTAGTTCAGTTCACAACTGAAATAATTGTACATATGCATTTTTAAAAAATAACCATGGTACTTTGGTACAAGGCAAAAGTACTTTATGTGTGCTTCCTGTTTTTTCACACAATATGAAAAATACAGGTACTTGAGCATCAAGAATGATTTCTGCTACTTCAAGGGCATTCTTGAGTGAAACTACCAAAGACAAATAAGTACCCTAGCTTTGACTATACAGAGGTCTATAATCATTTGAGAATTGCCTAGCTTTGCCACGATGTTAGCACAGATAATGGAGAAATATTAAGAAAAAGGATGTTGACAGTACATGCTAGTTATCTTCCTATATTTGGAAATCCAGCTAGATTGAATATTCTTCCCCATTGGGCAAGACTTACTTTTCATGTATAATCCCTAACATAGTGCCTTTAAACATAATAGACAACACAGTGAATATGTATTGAATGAAAAGACATTTTAAAATACATAGTATTGTTAATTTTCAGTTAGCTTCTATTAAGGTTTTTCAACAATTTTTTGTATAGCTATTAGTAAAATAGTATACGTGTTATTTTGGGAATGAAATGGTGAGGTGAAATGTTCTACGCTTTTTTTTTATGACTGAACATGTTTGGGTAGTGAATAGTACAATATAGTATAGTTCAGCTTTGTTTTGGTCCATAAATTTGAGGATATAACTATTATTTAAAGGTAAAGCAAAAGGGGATGCACTGTGTTGTGTTTATATAAACTTAAAACTTATATTTAAGACCAGGAGAGAATTTTCCTTAGCTTTCTATATGGATTAATAATGAAATTGATCAGTTGATGAACCAAATGCAACAGATTGAGACCCAGCAAAGGAAATTCAAAGCATCCAGAGACAGCATATTATCAGAAATGAAGATGCTAAAAGAGAAGAGGCAGCAGTCAGAGAAAACCTTTATGCCTAAGGTTCGTAAGTATATTTTCTATTAGAGATAATTTATGGTGGATCCTAAATTATATGGGTTATCCTTGAATTTTATGTGTTCTGTTTTTGTTTGAACTTATACTTTTGGACATCTGTATCTATCTATACTATCCTTATACCCATGAATACCCAGAGTCTCCTGTTATTGATTGCATTAAAACTTTCTGTCTTCATTGGACAAATAGACATTTTAAGCTGTGGCATAATAGTACTATCAGATGGTCAATATTGAATTTGTTAGTAACAATTTTTGTCTGTATGCACCATGCTGTTGACTATTTGATTGCATTTTGTCCAGATTGTATTAAAATGAGTAGAAAGTAAGCTAATAAGTGATGATATATTACTGGTCTGGTAAACTTGAAGTAGTTTTGACAGATCTTTCTTTTTAGTACATCAGTAGTTCTAAAACAACAAAGAATTTTTTTAAAAAGCACCCAACAGCCAGGCTCGGTGGCTCAGCCTGTAATCCCGTGCCTTTGGGAGGCTGAGGTGAGTGAATTGCCTGAGCCCGCGGATTCGAGACCCGCCTGGGCAGCGAGACCTCATCTCTACAATAAATCAAAAAATCAGCTGGGCGTGGTAGCACATACCTGTAATTCCGGCTACGTGGAAGACTGAGGCGGAAGGATCGCCGGAGCCTCGCAGGTCGAGGCTGCGGTGGCCGGGAGCGGCCACTGCACTCCAGTCTGGGCGACAGAGTGAGACTCCAACTCAAAAAAAAATAAATAAATAAAAACAAAAAAGCACCCAACACATTCTGGCAACTTTTTGTCTTTATGAACATGCTTGAAGATTTTTGTATAGGTTTATCACAGAAATCTGTTTCCACTTTTTCGTTATTATGATTAGTATAATGACTAATACTTTTATTAATTAATGGATAATCTGTCATATAGCAACGTAGCTTACAAAGTTTGGAGGCAAGTTTGCATGCTATGGAGTCTACCAGAGAGTCATTGAAAGCAGAACTGGGAACTGATTTGCTTTCTCAACTTAGTCTGGAAGATCAGAAGAGAGTAGATGCACTGAATGATGAAATTCGTCAACTTCAACAGGCAAGTACAACTAACAGGGAAAAAATTTTCACTGAAAATTGTTGTGAAAAGTACTTTTCTTGCTAAATAAAGGAATGTAAAAGAAAAGGACATTGAGAAAGTATAAAAATGAGACTTGGGCTTATAATACGCATAAGAGTAAATAAGATTTTAGTATTTCTAAACTATTCTGGGTATGTTAGGATTACACGGGGAATCTTCATTTTCTTTCATCTTTAACTCTTATTACTTATTAGACATCTTATTCTTATTAGCAAGATTGATCTTGTTAGCTTTGCTATATTTCTTAATCTGACCACCTTTATATATTTTACATTATTTTCATTAAACATTTCAATAATATTTGGTTTTTTAATACGTAGATATAAACAGCAAACACTGAGTCCAAAAAATGAAAAGCAGGAAAAGAAACTATTTTGACAACATGCTTTATAAAAAAAGCCAGGCACAAAAATTTAGCATTGTGAATAGATAAGAGAAAAAAAAAAGAAAGTATAGAACTTTTTGGAAGGGTATAAAATAAATCATTTCAGCTAATTTGAGCTCAGGTATGGAAAGGACATCAGATCAGCAGCATTCCTATGTGTAAAATGTGCGTGCTTATGCAGAGAACTAATTTCTTTTCTTAATTCTAGGAAAACAGACAGTTACTAAATGAAAGAATTAAATTAGAAGGCATTATTACTCGAGTAGAGACTTATCTCAATGAGAATCTGAGAAAACGCTTGGACCAAGTAGAACAGGTGTGTGGTTTTTTTGAGGGTTCCTTGATGCCCATAACCTAATGAAAGTGGTTATGTGAGAGGCTCTGACTGAAAGCATGGGCTTTGGGGACAGAAAGCCTAGTAAACTGTCCATGGGCCTTGGGTTAGAATTCTACCACTGCCACCTGGTGTGCAATTTTGGGCAAGTCATTTAAATTTTTAAGTCTTAGATAAGTATAATTGTACTTGTTTTGTATGATTGCTATCCTGGCATATTCTAGATGCTCAGTAAATGTTAGTTAAGGTTTTCTTAGCAGTAGTTAGATATTGAGAAATTTTCTAATAATTATATTATTACTCCCCTCCCCCCCGCAGTGGGTACTTTAAGAATTTGCAGTTGACCAGACATGGTGGCTCACACCTGTAATCCCAGCACTTTGGGAAGCAGAGGCGAGAGGATTGCCTGAGCCCATGACTTTGAGACCAGCCTGGGCAACATAGTGAGACCTCGTCTCTACAATAAATCAAGAAATGAGCCGGGTGTGGTGGCGCATGCCTGTAGTTCCAGCTACTTGGAAGGCTGAGGCAGATGGATCACCTGAGCCCAGCAGGCCGAGGTTGCTGTAGCTGTGAGCATGCCACTTCACTCCAGCTTGGGTGGCAGAGTGAGACTCCCAACTTTTAAAAAAAAAAATTTGCAGTTGTATGAAATATATGTATTTTGTTATTTTCTTGGAATGGCTATTCAAATAAAATAGATAATAGAAACTGCTAGAAGTCATAACATTTTTAAACTAATAAAGTTAGTGTTTTATATTTTAATGCTCATAAATCCTTCTGTGTTACAGGAACTTAATGAACTGAGAGAGACAGAAGGAGGTACTGTTCTTACTGCCACAACATCAGAACTTGAAGCCATCAATAAAAGAGTAAAAGATACTATGGCACGATCAGAAGGTGAATTTTTATGTAGTAAAAATTTTTTTTGGTATTTAGCTTGTTTTTGTTTACTATAAAATTAAATATCCAAATAGGCAAAAAGTAATTTTTGTGTTTTTATTATCTTAAACAGTTTATGGTAATTGGAGTTCAGTAGGTTGACTATAAATATGAGGGAGGACCCAAAAAAAGATTGGAATTATCTTTTGGAGGGTGAGCCCCTTGTAATACAGTCAGAATTTGTTCCTCTGACAGTCAACCAAAGTTTTTATCTGGAAGTTTTGAGAAGGTTGCACCACAAACCTTCTCAAAAGAAATGTCCTGGGTTGTGGCAAACAGTTGACTTGATCTTCCACCATGGTAGTGCACTTGCTGACACTGTGCTGAGCATTAGCAATTTTTGACCAAAAACGGCCTGACCCCTATGCCCTACCCTTCCTATTCACCAGATCTTGTCCTGTGCAACTTTTTTGTTTCCCTGACGAAAAGAGTTCTCAAGGGGAAACGTTTTGCAGATGTGGAAGAGGTGAAACAAAAAACAGCAGAAACACTAGAAGGCATCACAATTGACAAGTTCAAAAACTGTTTTGAACAGTGGAAAAGTGTCTCAATAGGTGTCATCAGAGGGAGAGTGCTTTGAAGGTGACTGAAGTTGAAACATGTATGAATAAATACACAACTTTTTTATAAGTTGATTCTGGGGTTTTTTTGGGTCCCCCTCATACATGTTGAAACCTTTATGACGATTTTATTAGAGACCATAAGTTATCATTTTGTTGACAAAAGTATGAAATAACTGAATCAGATTTCTCTTATTACTTAGTTGCTGAGGAGAAAATAATGGTTTTAGTTTTTTTATAAACATGAACAGTAATTGAAAACTATAGGCCAGGCTCGGTGGCTCAGCCTGTAATCCCAGCACTTTGGGAGGCCGAGGCGAGCGGATTGCCTGAGCCTGTGGGTTCGAGACCTGCCCAGGCAACTTGGCGAGACCTTGTCTCTACAATAAATCAAAAACTAGCCGGATGTGGTAGCACGCCGGTAGTTTCAGCTACTTGGAAGGCTGAGGCGGAAGGATCGCCGGAGCCCAGCAGGTCGAGGCTGCGGTGGCCGGGAGCATGCCACTGCCCTCCAGTCTGGGTGACAGAGTGAGACTCCAACTCAAAACAAACAAACAAACAAAAACTATATACTTGAGTGATTCATCTACACTCCTAATTTCATCTTGCCTTAAGTGGTTCATAAATTCTCACAGTAAAATTTAAATACAGAGCCTAAGCCTTACTTATTTTGGTAGATTTGACCACTAAAATGTTTGCTCAAATTACACTGGCTTTAAAATAGTCATTATAGCCTAATTTTGTTTTTTCCCCCTTTTAGATTTGGACAATTCTATTGATAAAACAGAAGCTGGAATTAAGGAGCTTCAGAAGAGCATGGAGCGCTGGAAAAATATGGAAAAAGAACATATGGATGCTATAAATCATGATACTAAAGAACTGGAAAAGATGACAAATCGTCAAGGCATGCTACTGAAGAAGAAAGAAGAATGTATGAAGAAAATTCGAGAACTTGGATCACTTCCCCAGGAAGCATTTGAAAAGTACCAGACTCTGAGCCTCAAACAGGTAAAGCCTGTTAAAAGGTTTTAAGTTTGAAGTGTTGTTGCAAATTGCTCTGCATATGAATTTGCTTAATACATACTGTTTTTTTGTTATAGTTATTTCGAAAACTTGAACAGTGCAACACAGAATTAAAGAAGTATAGCCATGTTAATAAAAAAGCCTTGGATCAGTTTGTAAATTTCTCTGAGCAGAAAGAAAAGTTAATAAAACGACAAGAAGAATTAGATAGGGGGTACAAATCGATCATGGAACTGATGAATGTACTCGAACTTCGAAAATATGAAGCTATTCAGTTAACTTTCAAACAGGTATGATCCTATTTATAGTTAATACACAGACACAAAGGACAAAAGCTTCAGCTCTTATTTAGTTTGTAAGGATTTTAAAACTTTATCCCCCATTAACAGGTGATCTAATACACATTAATAAATTCAACATATAGGTGGTTAACTTATAGTAACTTGAATGTTTTACACAGTTGTTAAAAGGATCCAGTCTGTTATTCTTGTTCCTAAGATTAAACAATGATTGATTGCTTTTCAATATTTGTCTTGTTTTAAGCAACTATATGTATAAATTCTACCTAGCAAAATTTATATTTGAATTGATGTGTTTTTTTTTTAAGGTATCCAAGAACTTCAGTGAAGTATTTCAGAAGTTAGTACCTGGAGGCAAAGCTACTTTGGTGATGAAGAAAGGAGATGTGGAGGGCAGTCAGTCTCAGGATGAAGGAGAAGGGAGTGGTGAAAGTGAGAGGGGTTCTGGCTCACAAAGCAGTGTCCCATCAGTTGATCAGTTCACTGGAGTTGGAATTAGGGTAAAATACCTTTACATTCCATTTTCCCAGGAGCATTACCATGGTAGAATTTATAGAATCTTTTGCAAATCTAAATGGGTACATAAAGTTGGGCATGGTGGCTCATGCCTGTCATCCCAGCATTTTGGAAGGCCAAGGTAAAAGGATTGCTTGATCCCAGGAGTTTCAGACCAGCCTAGGCAACATAGCAAGACCTCATCTCTAAAATAAAAATAAAAAATTAGCTGAACAGGTAGCATGTACCTATAGTCTCAGCTACTCAGGAGGCTGAGACGGAAGGATCACCTGAGCTCAAAAGGTCAAGACTGCAGTGAGTTATGATCATGCCACTGCATTTCAACCTGGGTCCAAAAAAAGTGTATGTGTGTGTATGTGTATTAAAAAATAAAAATAAAATAAATTGGTACATTATATGCAACAGTCTGTCAAGAGGAGATGGTGATTCTACCCCTTTAGGATATTAAATTTATAACATGTTTTCTTAGGTTTCATTTACAGGAAAACAAGGTGAAATGAGAGAAATGCAGCAGCTTTCAGGTGGACAGAAATCCTTAGTAGCCCTTGCTCTGATTTTTGCCATTCAGAAGTGTGACCCAGCTCCTTTTTACTTGTTTGATGAGATTGACCAGGCTTTGGATGCTCAGCACCGAAAGGCTGTGTCAGGTAAAGTTTTACTCTTGTACTTAGCAATGAGAACTTGCTTAAAAATAGTAGCTTACCTCTTTCATAGTGATTTCTTGTTGCCTGAGATATTTGGAAGGACTAGACAGGGTATATATTCATAAATAAAATACATTCTCTTTTAACAGGTTTTAGACTACACAGTTTAGTTTTGTGAGAAACAGATGTAATTATTTAATCTGTTGAAAATCTACTCCAATTAAAATTTTATACAAAAGTCTTTCTTTTTTTTTTTTTGAGTTGGAGTCTCACTCTGTTGCCCAGACTGGAGTGCAGTGGCCGCTCCCGGCCACCGCAGCCTGACCTGCTGGACTCTAGTGATCCTTCTGCCTCAGCCTTCCAAGTAGCTGGAACTACAGATGCGCGCTACCACACCCAGCTAATTTTTTTATTTTTATTGTAGAGATGAGGTCTCACCAAGTTGCCCAGGCGGGCCTCGAACCTGCAGGCTCAGGCAGTCCACTCACTTCGGCCTCCCAAACACAGGATTATAGGCTGAGCCACCGAGCCCGGCCAAGACTTTCATTTTAAAACTTTTTTTTATATTAGATTAGTCACTGTCATAAACAACATTAATTCTGTATTTAAAGAATCTAATCTTGTCAGGTGTGGTGGTTCACACCTGTAATCACAGTAATTTGGGAGGTGGCGGCGAGAGGATTGCCTGATCCCAGGGGTTTAGGACCAGCCTGGACAACATGGCAAAACCTCATCTCTACAATAGATCAAAAAATTAGCTGGGCATGGTGGCACGTGCCTGTGGTTCCAGTTACTTGGAAGGCTGAGACGGAAGGATCCCCTGAGCTCTGCAGGTCAAGGCTGCGGTGGCCATGAGCATGTCACTGTACTCCAGCCTGTACAACAGTGAGAGTTCTACTTTAAAAAAGTAATATATTCTTGAGTAAGTTTTTAAAAATCGTTGAGGAAATGGGTAGCAGAAGGAAGGTTGCTTTTGTTTTTTGTATGAGAAAACTTAATTTTGTTCTGACATTATTTCTAATGCTTTTAGAAGTTGATCCTTTATATATAACATATATATATTTTTTGAGTTGGAGTCTCACTCTGTCACCCAGACTAGAATGCAGTGGCACGTTCCCGGTCACCGCAGCCTCGACCTGCTGGGCTCCGATGATCCTTCCACCTTAGCCTTCCAAGTAGCTGGAACTACAGGCACGCGCTACCACACCCAGCTAATTTTTTGATTTATTGTAGAGATGAGGTCTCGCCAAGTTGCCCAGGCGGGTCTCAAACCCGCGGGCTCAAGCATTCCACTCACCTCAGCCTCTCAAAGCGCGGGATTACAGACTGAGCCACCGAGCCCAGCTGATCTTTTATATTAAATAGAACATCTGTGAGATTTATACCTAATTTAAGAAGTTAAGTTGGTAAATTTTATAGATGTATATATGAAATATAAAAGCCACAGGCTATCTTGACAGTTAAAAATTTTAGGTAATAGTAAAGATAGTTGCTTTTAAAATATACAGATCTCATGAGAAGAGGAATTTGCTAAATTATGATATATATATTTTTTTTGTTTTGTTTTGTTTTTTACAGATATGATCATGGAACTTGCTGTACATGCTCAATTTATTACAACTACTTTTAGGCCTGAACTGCTTGAGTCAGCTGACAAGTTCTATGGTGTTAAGTTCAGAAATAAGGTAATTTTATTTCACATAAAGTTTAAATTTGTTGGTATTCATTATATTTGTTGAATTCTGGTGTTATGTTACTTAAATAGTAAAGGAAAACTTAGAAAGTTGTTGCTTACCTGATAGTGGTATCTTTGTAAAGAGAAAACAACTTTTTCTTCAAATACCAATGACATTTAGCACTTTTATAGCACTCATTTAATTGCTTTTATTTTCATTGACATTAAGAAACTTTCCGTTCAGTCTATTCAATGTTTCTCTAATGCATGGTGTTTAACATTTATATACATTCATCTTATTTGGCTGGACTACACAGGTTTTCCTGGTGTCTTCCAACCTTAAGATTCTTTAGTGAAATCGCAAAGTAATAGAAAGTAAGCAAAAAGGTAGTTTAAATGTTTAGGCATAACTAATTTTGTCTTCAGAGCATTAAAATACAGATTTTTTTTTTTTTTTTTTTGAGTTGGAGTCTCACTCAGTCGCCCAGACTGGAGTGCAGTGGCCGCTCCCGGCCACCGCAGCCTCGACCTGCTGGGCTCTGGCGATCCTTCCGCCTCAGCCTTTCAAGTAGCTGGAACTACCGGCGCGCGCTACCACGCCCGGCTAATTTTTTTGGTTTATTGTAGAGATGAGGTCTCGCCAAGTTGCCCAGGTGGGTCTGGAACCCGCGGACTCAGGCAATCCACTCACCTCAGCCTCCCAAGGCGTGGGATTACAGGCTGAGCCACCAAGCCCGGCTACAGATATTTTTAAGCCTATGCATTGAACAAACACCACTGTAGTAAAAGTTTTACCAGTCAGTGCTTCAGAATCATTTTTACTTTATGTGCAAAATAAATAAGTGATAGGCTATGTATATTAAATGTTACCCTGTACAGTGCTAGCACTGATATATTTATTTAAGACTTAACAGATTTTGTTTTTAATGTTAATTGTTCTTCAGGTTAGTCATATTGATGTGATCACAGCAGAGATGGCCAAAGACTTTGTAGAAGATGATACTACACATGGTTAATTGGAAAATACTGCCCACTGGTTTGGAAGATGTGTATAATAATGAGATTCTCATATCCAGGAACTGTAAATTTAAACCTAAATATTTGGTCATTATTAATAGTTTTCAGACTTAAAGTATACATAGTCCTTTTATATTCCTGTCTTTGTATTTTATAAGATACTCTGTAATGTTACATTTCTACTTATAGTTTAAGAATTTTATTTCCTGCACAACTTTTTGTAAAGTGTCCTACTCTTGTTTTAAATCTTTTGAAACATGCTAAATATCCTTTCCTAATTATTTTATCAGTTATACTGCCTCTTTTTTTATAGCTTCGATTAAATAATTGGATTTATGACTAATTTAGTGTTTTATGTGGCTTTTCATTTGTCATTTTCTCTTCTAATGAGAACAACAATCAGATTGAATGTATGATGTCATTTTAACTTATCTTTAAAGACCCTAACTCCAAATACAGTTAGAACTGAGGTATTGGAGGTTAGGGCTTCAACATATGAATTTGGGGGAGGGTGACATAAATCAGCCCCTACCATGGTACGTTTATCTCCCAACATTGGTATATCACCATCAGCTAAATTCCAGATTTTTTTCAGATTTTTTTTTTAATCGGAGTCTCACTCTGTTGCCCAGGCTGGAGTGTGGTGGCACGCTCACGGCCTCTGCAGCCTCGACCTGCAGAGCTCAGGCAATCCTTCCGCTTCAGCCTTCCAAGTAGCTGGAACTACAGGTACGCACTACCACGCCTGGCTTATATTTCTATTTATTGTAGAGACAAGGTCTCACCAAGTTGCTCAGGCTTATCTCGAACCCCTGAGCTCAGTCAATCCTCTAGCCTTGGCCTCCCAAAGTGCTGGGAGTACAGGCTTGAGCCTCCACGCCCGACTTACTGAGATTTTACTAGTTTTTTCACTAATGCCCTTTTTCTTTTCTAGGATCCTACAGAAGATAACTCTATTACATTTAGTTGTTATGTTTTCTCTGTTCTATGATAGTGTCTCAGTCTATCTTGTTTTTCATACCTTGACAATTTTGAGGACTACTGCTCAGATATTATATAAAATGTCCCTCAATTTGGGTTCATCTGATATTTTTCTCATGGTTAGAATGGGGTTAACACCACAGAGGTGAAATGTCTCATTACATTATATTACATACATATTATCAACATGCTTTTCTCACTGATGTTGTTCAACTTCATCACCTACCCAACATCGTATTTGCCAGGTTTCTTCATTGTAAAGATATAATTTTTTCCACTTTTTATATTCTCTTCTTTGAAAGCAAGACTTAAGATGCAGCCTACATGGGGCTTCTGTAACCTTGGAATACTCTTATTCTAGTAGGTTTTTTGGTAGGTTCTTTGAGATTTTCTACATAGACAATCGTCATCTGCAAATAAGATAGTTTTATTTCTTCCTTTCAACATATTTACCTTTTTTTCTTTTTGATTTGGCGTCTCATTTCGTCACCTAGACTTTAGTGCAGTGGCATGCTCACAGCTACCGCAGTATCAACCTGCTGGGCTCTGGTGATCCTTCCACCTCAGCCTTACAAGTAGCCAGAACTACAGGCACGCACTACAGAGCCTGGCTAATTTTTTGATTTATTGTAGAGATGAGGTCTCACCAAGCTGCCCAGGCTGGTCTTGAACCTGGGGGCTCAGGCAATCCACTCACTTCGACCTCCCAAAGTACTGGGATTACTGAGCCCAGCGAATACTTACCTTTAGTTTCTTTCTCTTAATGATTTCTCCCATCTCCTACTTTACCCCCAGAGTTTCTAGTTGTTATCTGCAGGAGAGTTTGTTTATTAGGAGCAACTCTTCCGTTAGTGGAAACCAGAAATACCTAAAGAAGCACGTTTAAAATAATTAATGAGACTTTAATTTAAAATGTGCATTTGGCCAGGCTCAGTGGCTCTGCCTGTAATCCCAGCACTTTGGGAGGCCAAGGTGAGTGGATTGCCTGAGCCTGTGAGTTCAAGACCCAGCCGGGCAACTTGGGGAGACCTCGTCTCTACAATAAATCAAAAAATTAGCCGGGCGTGATAGCATGCACCTGTAGTTCTGGCTACTTGGAAGGCTGAGGCGGAAGAATCGCTGGAGCCCGGCAGGCTGAGGCTGCGGTGGCCAGGAGTGTGCCACTGCACTCCAGCCTGGGCACCAGAGTGAGACTCCAAGTCAAAATAAAGCAACAAAATAAAATGTGCATTCACTTTGAGTTTGACTGAATCTACAGTTTAAATGTTCAGTGTATTATTTATATTCTATAGCTTTGCTATAAAAATCCTATATAATAGATACTTTGGTATAAGACATGTTCTATCTAAGACTCCAAAGAATTATGTAACCATAGTGTCGTTCTAATATTTCTACCATGTCTCTTACACATCTTCCCAAGAATATTCATTATTAGTCCTTACCTATGGAGATTGAAATGGTTGGTGTATATATAGATTTATAGGTTTGCTCTGATATGACCAACTCTTTATAATGCAGAATTTAGTGTAAACTCCATCTAAAACTCAGTTCAAGGGGTGTTAAAGTCATAGCATCATTCCAGAACTTTTTTTTTTTAATTGGAGTCTCATTCCATTGCCCAGGCTGGAGTGCAGTGGCATGCTCATGGCCACCCTGGAGTCAACCTGCTGGGCTCCAGTGACCCTTCCACCTCAGCCTTCCAAGTAACCGGAACTATAGGCATGTGCTACCACACCTGGCTAGTTTTGTATTCATTGTAGAGACAAGGTCTCACCAAGTTACCCTGGCTGGTCTCTAACCCGTGTGCTCCCAAAGTGCTGGGATTACAGGCTGAGCCGCTGAGCCCAGCTTTTTTTTTTAAGCTAGGGTTTCCCTCTGTCATCCATGCTAGAGTGACTATAGCTCACTGCAGCTTTAACTTTCTAGGTGCAACCAGTCCTCCCACCCCAGCCATCCAAGTAGCTGTGACTACAGATGTGTGCCATCATGCCCAGCTAATTTTATTTTTTGTAGAGACAGTCTCACCCTGTTGCCCAGGCTAAAGTACAGTGGCACACTCATAGCTACTGCAGCCTCGACCTGTTGGGCTCAGGTATTCCTTCCATTTCAGCCTTCCAAGTAGCTGGAACTACAGGCACAGACCACTGTGCCCAACTCATTTTTTTATTATAGCAACTAGGTCTTGCCAAGTTGCCCAGGCTGGTCTTGAACCCCTGGACTGAGGCAATCCTCTCTCCTTCACCTCTCAAAAGTGCTGGGATTACAGGCGTGAGCCACCATACCTGGCCTGAATTATTAATTCTATGAAATTGAACAGAAAAGTGTGAAAATCCTGGGCATACTTAGTCAACCCAGAAACTTGGAGGAAAGACAGAAATTTACCCAAGGAATTAGCCAGTGATTTATAAGAAAATCTAAATAAATGTTGCTCTGTGACTGGCTAGTCCTTTCCTCAGAGTAAGATGATTCTTCGCTTGAAGATTTTGTTAATGCTGTTGCAATATAGTGCATTCACCATAGTAGAGTTGAAATATATATAGGGGGTGCCAAAAAAATGCATACACATTTTAAGCGGTTATTTGTGTATTACTTTTGAATTAAATTACAGTAGCAATGTGTACTGTGATGTTTGCTCAGCCGTTCTTCCACCATTTTCTTTGACTGTTCTGCCTGTCCTGTTAATTAATGTCATCTTTTGAGCATACATTATACTTTTTAGAAAACGATGCAATTTATAGAAACAATGATTTTACTATGAATAGTATAAAAAGTCAAAATAGAAATGTGGAAAAGGATGAAAGCTGACTTTTGCAGAATTTCTTCCTTCTTAGAAATATTTAAGCAATAGCAAACCTGTTTTTTAAAAGATTTGGTTATTTCTTAAAAGAAGTTTCTTGTCTAGCAACTCTCCAGATAGGAGCTAGCACTTTCATTCAGCTTCCCACAAAGGGAAAATACTGGTGTTTAGGAAAGATGAACAGTATTTAGATTTCACTGTTACCCAGTTAATGGTTTTAAACAGGGCACAGCTGGCCAGGTGCAGTGGCTCAAGCCTGTAATCCCAGCACTTTGGGAGGCCAAGGTGAGAGGACTGCCTAAGCCCAGAGGTTCGAGACTAGCCTGGGCAACTTGGTGAGACCTCATCTCTACAATAAATCAAAACATTAGCTGGGTGTGGTAGCAGGCACCTGTAGTTCCAGCTACTTGGAAGACTGAGGCGGAAGGTTTGCCTAAACCCAGCAGGTCAAGACTGCGGTGGCCGTGAGCGTGCCACTGCACCCCAGCCTGGGGTGAGACTCCAAATCAAAAACAACAACAGGGCACAACTTCCAGTTGTTGGAAGCTTGCCACAGAGGTACAGAGTATTTTGTGTTTTAAGGATTTATGATAATAGAAATAGTAAAATAGTATTTATTCTTTTTTTTCTTATAGTTAAATGGTGTCTGTTGCCCAGGTTGTTGTCCAGTGGCACTATCACAGCTTACCACAGCCTCGACCTCCTAGGATCAGGTGGTCCTTCTGCCTCAGCCTCCTCCTGAGTGCCTAGGTCTACAGGTGTGCACCACCACACCTGGCTAATTTTTTTGGTTTTATGTAGAGACAAGTTCTGCTATGTTGCCTAGGCTATGCTCGAGCTCCTGGGCTCAAGCAATCCTCCTGTTTTTGCCTCCCAAAGTGCTGGGATTACAGACATGAGCTGCCATACCTGGCCCATTCTTTATCTTTCTTACATTTTACTCAAGTATATCTCTTTATCTTTGCACATGAATAATCCACGTGTGTATACTTCTGCTGAGTCTGACACGTTAAATAGGGGAAGAGTAAATGGAAACCAGTTGCACATTAATGCAGCTAAAAATGATGACAGCAAAGTGTTAACCTACTACCTAGAAATTAGGGAGGGTCTTTGCTTTCTTACTTGAAGGTTTTTTTGTTTTTATATGTAATTTGGTAGAGATTATCCTCTATTTTTGTGTGAATATTAAACAATAGTGGCCAGAGTGTAGTGATCTATACTTTTTTTTTTTTCGAGTTGGAGTCACTCTGTTGCCCAGACAGTGGCATGCTCCTGGACACTGCAGCCTCGACATGCTGGGCTCTGGTGATCCACCTCAGCTTTCCAAGTAGCCGGAACTACAGGGAAGTGCTACCCCGCCTGACTATTTTTTACTTTATTGTAGAAACAAGGTCTCGCCAAGTTGCCTGGCCTGGTCTCGAACCCACAGGCTCAGGCAATCCACTCACCTCAGCCTCCGAAAGTGCCGGGATTACAGGCTGAGCCACTGAGCCCGGCCAATATATGCTCTTAATCCCAGCACTTTGGAAGGCCAAGGCAAGGAGGATCACTTGAGGTCAGGAATTT